GTGGGGTAATGACAGGAGAGAGATGAAGTGAAGAGAAGTAAGGGGGAGTTTACTAAAGTTGGTGGGTCTGTGAGGCCAGCAATACTGGTGATGATGCAGAGGTGGTTGTGGATGCTGGGAAGGGGTGAAGTGCAGTGCAGCCAGTGAAACTGTGAGTAGATGAGGGATGCTGGAGTGGCCAGCAGCCTGGCAAGGAGGGCTGTTGTCCAGCATTTGGGAGCGGCTTTATTGTTGGCCATTGAGGTGGTAGAGGTATACACAACTCATTATGAGGCTGATTTTGGTCTCAAAACCATATACCCTCATAATCTTCAATGGAGGAGTCTCTCACACAAAATGCAGTTACCTACCCAGACTAAGGACCAACTTCTGCCCCTATTTATGCCCAGGCAACCCCACTGATGGATTCAGCAGTGTATTAAAGAAGCCAGAAATTAGCCCTAAAAGCCTGTAGGAGTTTGGCTACTCTGAGGAGGAAAAGGAAGGTCCCTGGATTTCAGTTGTGTTTCTGCTTCTTTCTGAGACCAGGCCTGTGGCAGATTTCTGTAAGAGAATGGTTAACCTGACAACTCACTGGTGTTTTGCCTGAGGGATGACTTACAAGATGAACTGATACTTGTCCCGTTGTCATTGGTACAGAGATGAACGCATTGAACTGATGTTCCTCTCATGTACTAGTGACAGCTGCTGCTAGAGGTCTTAGTGTCAAAAGTAAAAGGCTTCAGGGTGGGGACAAGGGGAAAAGAAATAAATGTGGGTTAAGTCCCACTCTTAGCTTGTTTCAGAGAAATCAAACTAATACACACTGGGTAACTAACATCAGAATTGGTCTTAACAGGTTGCATTGTCTGCATTAGAAAAAAAAAAAACAGCTGGAAGTAATCTTGTGTTTCCACAGCTGAAGAAGTGTATTTTAAATGGATAGTCTTGGATTATTCTTAAGTGCTTGTGGGTAGCTTGGTTTTCTATTCTGTTTGGTGACAATTTTTCCCCCTCTCTCAAAAAGGGAAGCAAATAGGTCAACACTTCCTGTCTCCCAGCAATCAGCAGAAAGGGCTTTAGAAGATTTTAATGCTGTTATCTTTAAAAGAGGATAACATTGCTGTCTGACTCATAAGCAGGAAACCTGGGAGTTTCAATTATAGTTAAAAAACAAAACAAACAAAAAACCCAACAAAACCCTAATAATAAAAGATAAGGCTCCTATGCCACATCCTGATATATTGGATGAATGCCTGAGGTGCAGTGAAGTTTTGCCATCTAAATATATCAAAGCTTTCCAGGATGACAACATTAGATTTCCTAGATTCATGTTCTCCAAAGACAGTAATGATGTTTTTTTTTTAAATAGATTTCTAAGTCAATTGACATTTTATATAAGCATGATACGCAATAGAACAAGACTAAAGATGAGTAGCTACAGAACTCGGTTAACAATGGCTCCTTCTAGGAGGCATGCCACCATCCCTGTTATAATTTTCTTAAGAAGTGAACCAGTGTGGTCAGTGCTTATTGGACCCAGATGTTGTTTTGTTTTGGGGGGAGTGAGGGGAACTAGGGACAAACTGTGGTTATTCTCACACAATATTCTTTATGTCATGATATTCTAATGTTGGTGTTCTTGTCTTTATGTCTATGCATTCTTTAGCTATGAGGATAACAGACCCTTCATCAAGTAAGAATGACCTGAATGGCTGATAAATTCCATTTATCAGTGTGGTCCCATGAACCAGCTATCAAATCAATATTGAAAAATCATTAAAGCTTCTGTCATTCACATTTGAGGCAGAAGAGCAAACTGTGCAGGAAAATGGTCAGGCATACAGCTAAGATGCAGAGTAAATGTGCTGCATATGTATTGCCAAACAATTGTCACTTTGTCTGCTTCACATTTCTTGATTGGACATCACGAGATTTCAAGGCAAATGCTAAAAGCAATCTGGTGTCGTACAGACTTGTTATATCAATAGCAGCTCTCTGTTTCACTGTGCTTTCTCCCTCCATGCATTTGAGTGTGTTTTGTTGATAATAATGGTTTTGGCTCTGGATCATTAATGCAATTTAGAGGTAAATTTTCAATGATGCATGGGTATTAAGCCACATGACTCCCATCAAAGCTAATGGAGGTGGCACAATTAAACTCCTGTGCAGTGCCTTGGAAAATGTCTTCCTAAAGACTACAATATCCAGTTGTCACAAATTGTAAATTGAAAGCTTTCAATCATGCTGACATTTGATGTTCTGTTTCTTTATTTCATAAAATTAAATTATTAAGAAAAAAGAGTGTAAAAAACCTGCAGCAGAAATACAAGTCTGTACAAAGAGTGCAAAATGTAAAGGAAGCAAGAAGCACATACAAATTATGCACCGTTTATCTTAAATCTTTTGTCCTGCAACCAAAAAATAAACCATAAGTAGCACAATGGAAGCATATCAACTTTGCAATAGACGTTCAGTTTGTTCTTCTGGTGAAGAGTCCTTTGTGTTCATTTTTCCAGTATCATTATCATATTCTCTGTCATTCTTCAGTTATTTTGTTCCAAGGATAGGGGGTGGAGCTGGAGCATTTTTATGCATTCTCCACCCTCTCTTTACTCCAGGCCTGTTTTCTGCGACATAACATTGTAATATTGTACAATTTGTGCTGTGTGATACTTTAATCCAAAGATTACTTTCAGATACTAAGGCAGCATAGTTTTGCTTCTCTTCTGTTAACTGATTCACTCTTTTCTGCAGACCTCTGTAATCAGAGGTTTTTAACTCGGACTCAAGAATGCCATAGATTTGGCATGAGAACATTTTCCAGTAACTGTTAAAAAACCAAAATGTACAATGGCAGTGGAAAAAAATAAACCATTTAATTTTGTAAATAAAAAAAAATGGCTTGCAAATAAGATCTTAATGTGGTTTCATTGATGATAGAGTTTTGGAGGGAAAATATATAAAGCAGTTGAAGTATTTAACTTTATGAAGTGACTATCTTTTGAGAGTGCATTTTCAATTTGCACAGCACTAAATATTTATTTGCAGAATTGACTGGAAATGCTTCAAAGGAGCTGTTCTAGTCTACTAGATACAAAATAGCTATTTAAAAAGCTGCCTAAGTATGCGGTTAGCTCAGGGAGCTCTTCTGGTCTCATGGATAAATACTACTTTTATGAACTCCAGTGGAAGTTATAAATACTGCATTTCCTTTCTAATATTTAAAGACAAGAAGAATCACTAATAGGTCAAGAGTGTGCTCCTGTTTGTGATTGACCTGGATGAAAACAAAGGGATCCAAAGTAAAGGCTCAGTTGTTGTCCCAGTGTCATGATAGAAGATTGGCTTGTCTGGCTGCAAACAGCTCAGCTTTGTCAGAAGACTTTTTCACCAGCTCCTTCCTACCCTTCCAGCTCAACCCTCTCCTGAGCAGAGCACAAACTCAGCAAAGTCTATATTCAAGACAGGGTTTTGACATCCCTAGCGACAGCTTAGTTTGAAACTTAGGTGGGTCCTCTGTGGACCTGCACCCTGCAAGTCCCTCTCCCCAGCATGTGTTCGGAGGAGTTCATATCTGTTGTCCTCTGGGCTGGTGCAAGTAGCAGGCCTAGGCAGGAGAACAAATCAGATGATGGCCAAGTTAGCTAAGGTAGCTGGCTGTCCCTCCAGAGATGTGAACTTAAGTCCCATTGCTCTGAGTCCTGCTATGAATGGGTCCCTGGCCATTTGCATAGTGGAAGAAAGCCCATAGCCCCTTTCAAGGACAAAAGGTTAAAAAGTGTAGGGAGGTAAGAGGAAAACGAGAGTTTCCAAAGGGGATATGTTCTCAAGTCCCCTTAAACCTCCATCCTTTTGACACTGGAATAATTCTGTTCACTTCAACAGAGTCCTCCACATTTACATCACTGTGTTAGAAGGAAACTAGGTCCATGAGCTTAAAGATGATCTTTACCATGCAAATGAAGCTATTAGCTTGACCCCCACCCTAAACAGTAACACTCTATTTCATGCCTGATCCAACCCTTGACAAAGGCAATGTGAATGAAACCCTAAGGCAGGACGTAGTGCCCATCAACTCCTTGTTCTATTCATTGTACTTTAGGACACCCCCATGGCCTGTTCTAAAGAAGCAGCCCCTCAGTATTAGTTAGCGTTTCAAGTTTCAGTGCATTAGGGAATAGCTTTTCATTCCTCAAGAAAAAATGTAACCTATCGGCCCACCTGTGTCTTCAAAATCTGCTTGCCCTAGGTAGTTTTCACATCTCAAAAAAGAGGCTGAGAACCAATGCGTAGAGTCCCTTCTTGCCCTTACAGCCTATCCTGTTAATCCAACTGCAAATGATCTGGAGTGATGTGGGGAACAATCACACATTACAGTATGTTTCTTTCCATTACA